CGAATCAAAACGCTAGGGGCATGCAGGATTGCGATGTCCCGGCGCGACCTAATCGGGCTATTGAGCACGCGACTGAGGTTACCTAGGTACTTGAGCAGCCCCCAGACTCATGCTGAGACGACATGGCAATCGGAGTCGGGATGGAAGTGCAACATGATAGAGTTTGTGAAAAGCTTGAAGTGTATTGGCATGAGTGAGATCCACCTGATGGTTCACACATGCGAACATGCCGAACAGCAAAGTTGGAGAGGCTAGACTGGGGCTAGACCCACATCCTGGGCACGGACATCCAATAACAACGTCACTGCCAGCCAGGTTCAAGATGAATATCGCAGGAACTCCACACTCTGCACTTCTTACGCGCTTTTCGCCCAACCGCCTTCGTGTCTACATCCCAGTGGCTCCTCACTGCTGCACCTCCTTGTCATACAGCACTAGATCTGCCATTGTTATCTTGATACGCGCTTGCCCTGCAATGGCATCGAATCCAGGCCCTTCGTCCGCGGCTGCTGCAGCACCCGACAACTCGTCGCGTCCAGGGCTGGAAGCTTCATCTGCGCCACCAAAGAAGAAGAAGACTCACCGTGGCGGAAAGAAGAGGCGCAACCGGCGTCAGTCCTTTGCTGCGGGAGCCGACCTGGCACAAGGCGACTCGATGGATGAACGTCCAAGCTTGGCCAATGTCGCCAGCCATGGCCAGTCGCGAGGAAGCAACGGCTTTTACCGCACCCACAGCAACCTCAGCAACACGAGCCTCGAGAGCGAAGCGCTCTTGGATCACAGAGAACAACCGACTATCCGAACGCGCAGACCGAGCGTACCTGTAACGTCCATGTACCAGCCGAGGGCAAGTCAGTCCAACGCCAACGTACCCCAACGCCTCCAAGCATCCAACTCATATGGCCGCTCCCGGCTGTCGCATACCCCTGAAGAGGTCCAAGACAGTGATGCCGACGAAGATGCGAACGACAGAACGCCCCTGATGGCCTCTTCTCAGCGCGACATCAGGACAGGCACTAGCTATGGCTCCAACAGCGGCAAACCCCGAAGAGGAAGCAAGACGTCGATGAAGAGCCCAAAGCATATGCCCATGCCCGAACACAGGCCTGACTTATTCACTCAACACCACCACTCTGCGACCAACCTCGACGAGTACGATGTCAACAACCCCCCGTCTGTTCCCACCAGCCCTGCCTTCGAGGCCACTAGTGGCCTAGACGATGTCATGCTCCCGACAGATTTAGACCACATGTCTGACCCGGGAAGAGCCACCAGTCCGTCTAGGGATGCGCTCATCGATATCGATGAGGATGGTCACTCGGGTTCGCCTCCTGGTCCCGGCGACTTCAGACGCCGTATGACGACTTCTGGGCTTGAAGACGTCTGCTTCCCACACGAGGCTATGTCTGAGATGGGACACGAAGATTACATGAACGCTCCTACGACTGGCGAGCCAACGAGTCGCCGAAGACGCCGCCGCTGGCCCAATCTCGATGTTCTACAAGCTTGGGCACATGAGGAGAAGGAGCAGCGGACTATTGAGGGCATGCGTATGCGCAAGGTTAGTGAGCCGCTCATGGTAGAAGGACGTCTCCGACCAAGGCGACGCGTCTGGCATCGCGAGGACAGCGACGCTCCTTACCGCTTCACCTACTTCAACGAGACTTTCGACAACACAATTCACTCTCAAAGCATTAGCGAACTTTTGCAACCTGGACAGAGTTTCAGGAACCTCTTCGTCCCTGACCCGCCAATTTTGGACGACGATAGTGATTCTTCAGACACGGAGGACGACATGCTGCACGCAGGCCCCAACGGCTACGCCTCTCGGACAACAACGCGTTCAACCTCGAAAGCAGAGGGCAAGTATTCCTCCGGTGAGCAAACGCGCTCGACTACACCCCGACCCACAGACGCCCCCAAGAATGATCAGCCTGAAGCTGAGAAGCCGAAGCGCTATGGCCCACGGCCTGCCTGGTGGTTGGATGTCATGTCCCCCACGGAGACTGAGATGAAGGTCATTTCTAAGACGTTTGGCATCCATCCATTGACATCAGAAGACATTCTGATGCAAGAGCAACGTGAGAAGGTCGAGCTTTTCAAGCACTACTACTTCATCAACTACCGTACCTTTGAGCAGGACGAGAACAGTGAAGACTATCTAGAGCCTGTCAACCTGTATGTTGTTGTGTTCAGAGAAGGTGTAATAAGCTTCCACTTCTCTATGACACCGCATCCTGCGAACGTCCGTCGCCGTATTCGTCAACTCTCAGATTACCTTGTTCTATCTCCCGACTGGATCTCGTATGCCATTATCGATGATGTCACCGATGCTTATGCGCCTATGATACAGAAGATCGAAGAAGAGGTTGATGATATTGACGAGGCTATACTGCGACTTCATTCGAGCGAAGAGGAACAGGAAGCTGAGAAAGAAAAGTCATACAGCTACAACAATCCGCACTACGACGAGCCTCCCGAGGTGAAGTCGCAGCAGGAAAGTGGCCGAGACATGTTGCGACGCGTTGGAGAATGTAGAAAGAAGGTTATGAGCCTCTACCGCTTGTTGGGTAACAAGGCCGATGTCATCAAGGGTTTCGCGAAGCGCTGCAACGAGCAGTGGGACATTGCACCTCGCAATGAGATCGGCATGTACCTTGGAGATATCCAAGATCACATTGTAACTATGACGGGCAATCTAGGGCACTACGAGAAGTAAGTTGAACTTGAACAGTTATAGGGCCATGAACTAACCCGCTTCTCAGCCTCCTCTCTCGTGCTCACAGCAACTATCTCGCTCAGATCAACATCAGGATGAACGAACGTCAAGAAAAGACATCTGACATTCTGGGTAAGCTTACAGTGCTCGGAACGATTGTCCTGCCAATGAATGTTGTGACGGGTATCTGGGGTATGAACTGGTGAGTCAAGTCGCCCGGCCTTGGTGTAATCACATGCTAACCAGCTTTAGTCTCGTTCCCGGTCAAGACATTGAGAATCTCAACTGGTTTTGGGCCATTACTGGAGGCCTCATCACCTTCGGTCTCCTCTGCTACTTCATCGCAAAGAGAGTGTATGGTATTGTTTGATAGAGTAGGGGAAAAGCGTAGATTGCTATTTGGTTGAAAGAATACATTGTACCACGCGGCGTTTGGGATGGCTTTGACGCGCACCGGGTCGCTCTTGGGCTAATTTGGATCGAGACAGTACACACGTTAGTTTTTGTACTACCACGTATAGACATGATGGTTGTCGTTCAACTAATATGTGAAACTCGTTTGCTCTCCACACGTCCATGTGCCTTTGACAGTGAGGCTCCAACTCACTGTCCGCTCAGACTGAAAGTAGATTTGTGCACCCACTTGGCCCCCACTGTCACCCCTCTTTTACGCAAGCACACACGGGAAGCCGCATGGATTAGATAGTATCCGTCTCGAACTACCGGCAACTTTGTGTTTCCGGTGAATGGAGGGTCACATAAGCTGCAGAGTCGTGTAGGGGAGCTGAGACATTCCAATAGTCATCATGCAGCTGGTTTCAGTGTGCTAGCGCGTAGGTAGATGTGGTCACCTCGAAAGACATGATGAGCCGTTTCACCGGACCAAAAGGGAGCCTTCCACGGCGCGATTGCAGGAATGTGTGTTTGCTGTCTGGTGGTCGTGAGAGCGTGTACAAGGGCTTTCAGGCAGTGGACAGATATTTGCATGGAGAAGCCTGTTAGGTACTGATTCGATCTTTACAGCACTCTGATGTATGCTCCATCGATCGAAGTACGTCGGGTGCAAACACGGCCTTTTGTACGAGGTTCTGGGTTATTGTTCGCAAGGCCGCAAAGTGCTCAATACGTTGGGCAGACGTCTTGTCGGTCACTACCCAGAGGCGTCGGCGAGTTTGCGGTCAAGGAAAAAACCGTCAAGAGCCTCAATGATGCGTTTTCCCGTTGATGGCGTCAAGAAGACGGTATTCCGGAGCGTTGTACATGAGTTTTGCAGGGTAACCCTTGGTGTATTGGGTCGCTTCACTTTTGGGCTTCGCATGCGGTACCGCAGGAAAGTTTTGTCTTGCAGCTAGGTTCCAAGTTGGGCCCAAGCCGTGTCTTTATCACGGTTTTGGCTATGGTGGAGTCACAGGCAGCAGAGTTGGCAGCGGAGGCGCAGTCAGCGGCATGAGTCGTTGTCAGCCGCTCGAACTGCAAAGGCCATGGGCAGTATGGGCACCGTCCACATGCTCGAGCGCTCACCGTATGCGGGGCTATGCGCATAGGTGATGGCGCAATGTCCGGTGAGTTCTATGTTCCCACAAAAAGAAACTTCTAGCGAATGTGACAAGTTGCAGGCAGTGGTTCGCATGATGTGCGATGCGCGCGCTCCCGTCGTGGCTCGATGGTAGGGCTGCGACGGCGCGGTGAGCCCATCTTGTCTGCAAAGAGGGTGAGGCAGACAGATAGACAGACAGACTTTCGTCGGATGTGCACTGCCTGACTATGCCAGTATTTAGTCGGAGAAAAGTGGTTTTGGCACACATGGTGCAGCGTGCAATCAGTTGAGGTGGTGCGCAGTGGCCTTGACGTCATCCCCAGGGTACCTCCTCCAGCCTCTGGGCAGGCCAGAATCAAGTCTTCTGACGGGTTCCGCTATTCTTGACACTTGACGTCTTCGTCCCTACTCCGGTTCACCCTCTTATTACCCCACCTCCGTTTGCTATCGCAGTGCTACCAGCATCGCGCATCCCCAACGATAGTGAGTGTGTTGATCACCACGCTCGCCAATCACCCCAGGCCCGCCAACGTGCGATCGACGCCTGCGAGTACCCGCCAGCCGCCCTCGCTCAGCCGTACGCCGTCACCCAACGCAGCGACTCATAGCGACTGGCTCAGTAGGCGAGCACCAGACGCCAGAGTCTACAAACATTCCTGTCCTGTCCTCGTCCCCATCTGCACCACTTCTCACCACACTGCAACTTACCCCACTATTTGACTTTCCACGAACCCACGCCGCAGCATGTCGGTCATCTACAAGAGAAGCGAGCGCGAGCGCGAGTGGGACACCACGTCGGCGCGTGGAAGCGGCGCTGGCTATACCACGGTGAGGCGCTACAAGGTGCCCGACCACAGCCTCGAGGAAGACACGTACGAATCCGAGATGCGCCTCGTCCACCGTGGCCGCGACGACTTCGAAGACCGCCGCTCCGTCAAAGATTATGTCATTGAACGTCATCAAGAGCCTGCTCGAGAAGTGAGACACTACCACTACACCGAACGCGAGCGCGAAGTCTCCCCTCAGCGTTCCGAGTACAGAATTCAGCGCGAGTATGAGCGCTCCCCGTCGCCCGCCCGAACCGAGATTCGCATCTCCCGCGACTACGAGCGCGACCGGGAAATCTTCCCACGCGAACAGCAGCCCTATGAACTGGAGAAGTACTCGAGGTCTACTGAGTATTTCCGCCCCGAGCCGATCCCCCAACCACCACCCCAGCCCATCTACATCCGCAATGAAGCCCCCCAGCCCATGCAGATGCAGATGCAACCTATTATTATTCGGGAGGAGGCCCCGCAACCCATCATCATCCGCGAGCGCATTCAAGAACCAACCTATGAGCTTGTTGAGCGCACTACTGAAGAAGACAGACAGGTCGCTCGTCCGCGTCACGAGGAAGACTATTACTACGAGCGCAGGGTCAAGGAAATCGACCGAGGTGGTCGTTACGACGAGAGATACGCCGACGAGCGCGAATATGATCATCGATGGGGAGATAAGAACTACTACAGCGACGATGATATTTACATCCACAAAGAGAAAGACACGTGGGGTGGAAGCGAGACCCGAACTAAGCGTGATGTTGCTGCGGGCGCTCTTGCCGGAGTTGCTGCAGGACAGATCATCAGACATCATCGCAAGAGGAAGGGTGAAGCCGCTGGAGGCAACATCGGGAATGCCCTTGGCTACGGCACATTGGGTGCTGTGAGTGCTGTGGCCCTCGATAGATTTAACAACCGTGATAGATCTCGGTCTGTTTCTTCTGAGCGAGGCAGGGGCAGCCGACGCGGCAAGTCTCGTCACCGCAGCAAGTCTCGAGTAAAGGAGTTGGGCACGCTTGCCGCTCTCGCTGGTGTTGGAGCCCTCGCCTATGCCGCTGGACAGAGGAACAAGAACAAGACGGCGGTCAAAGAGGAGACAGTCACGGTCATAGAAGACCGCCACCGAAGCAGGTCGCGTCACGGAGGTCGATCACGCTCTAGGAAGAGCCGAAGAAGACATAGGTCCGTCTCAGCTGTTGGATCTGACAGGGGTAGGTCTCGTAGCACGAGCAAACACCTAGACCCTGAGCACCGTAACAACAGAGCAGCGCAAGTCGGTCTTGCCACTGCTGCTGTAGCCGGTCTCGCTGCACGTAGCCGCAGCAAGTCTCGAAAGCGCAAGGGCAAAAGATCGCCCAGCCGAATCCGACAGGGCGTGCCAATCGCTGCTGCTGGTGTCGCCGGCGCAGCTGTTACTGGACTATATGAGAAACGCAAGGCTAAGAAGGAGGCTAGGGCGGCATCGCGGTCCAAATCAAGGTCGCGCTCAAGGTCGAGGTCAGTGCTCTCCCGCCTTACCGGACGTAGCCGTAGCAGGCGTGGAAGTACAGTGAGTGAACCTGTTTTAGTAGAGTACGGTGGTGATCCGGTATACACCGATCGCCCGGCCAGAAGTCGAAGCCGGAGCCGGAGCCGGGACCGAAGCCGTTCGCACCGTAGCAGAAGACGACGAAGCTCTTCGTCATCTGATGGTCGAAGTCGGAGCCGAAGCAAGAGTCGAGCACGAACGGTCGCAGAGACGGCGGCGGTTGCTGGTGTTGCTGGTTTGGCTGCTCATGAAGCAGCAAAGCGACGCGACCGTAAGAAGGCCGAGAAGGAAGCTGAACGACGACGTGAGTCCACCCCTCGCCCATACCGCAATTAGCATACTCAACATCACCAGGCGAGGATGATTCAGCCTACTCCACTGGCACCTACAGCCCCTATGATAGTCCCACGCCATCCACTGCCCATCCTAACGACTCTCGTTTCTTCCCTGAATCGAACTACTTCCCCCCTCCCCCTACTGCTCCAGTAGACCACAACCCAAACAACCCATACCCTCCGTACAACCCGGCAGATTACCCTCCCCCTCCAAGCGCATATGAGCCAAATCATCCATCACAGTTTGTCAACCCACCGCACGAAGATCTACATCTCGGTAATCCGTATGCTCCTCAACACCAACAACAACATGAACCCTACTATGGTCAGCCACGACGTGGGGGTGACAATGTGAGTGCTCCAGTTCCTGATCATGGCGGTAACGAGCACTATAACTTCGCTTCTGCGCGTGGTGGGTTGAGGCCGATGCCTGCCCATGAATTGGATAGCCTTGCTGATACTAGAACAGGTCCCGTAGACGAGCCGCGTAGCCCAAGCCCGACGCCAACAGAGGAGAAGAGCGTCAAATTTGACCTGAACCCACAAGAGGAATCCCCGCGGGAGCCGTCACGGGAGCCTTCGCCTGACTCTGATAGGGAGCATAGACACAGGGACGACCACAGCCACAAACGTCACAGACGCCGTAAAGATGACGACCGATCAGACATTACGAGAGAGTCTGGTAGAGCACGCAAGAGACGTCATAGGTCTGAGAGTCCTGGGTCTGATGCGTCTGACGCCACCATTGAACTCCCACCACGGTTTGACGAGCGTGGGCGTCAGCAGCCTGAGGATCCGCTGGCGAAGCAATTGGAGAGTGTCTTGCAAAGCATATTCCGATAGCGTCTTTTGCTCGAGTAGTCTTCTTCCTGTCATGTATTCTCTTTTTCTACGTCGTTTGCTCACAAAGAATGTGTTCCGTATTTTTGACTTATCTATTCCCTATATCTGGAGACTTTGTATATGGCGTTCTAAGATGGTTTCGATCATGATAATGAGGTTACGATATCACGGTGTCAAGATGCATTCTTGTTCTCATTCCTAATACTATTCCCTTGGTACATACGTAATAAATGTTATCTTCTTTTGTTTGCAAGATGGGCTCAACTCTTGGTGAAGACTATTAAGGATCTCGAAGATGTCGCACAGATGGCCACGACTGGACTGCTTGACTACAGCCTCGTTAGTACCTGAGACCCAATCGTGGCTGCCTACCCTGAGAAACTGGGAGAGGAGTGGTGAAGTCTGTTGGCTTTGTTGGCGCGCCTTCCCTGCTGTTGTCACGGCTGCTCCTTTTGTAAGCATTGCAACTCGGCGCGACGAGAAACCTCATCCTCACGCCCGCAGCCGCACCCTTTCAACAACACCTTCCTATCGCTCTCGAATCGATCTCCCTTACTCTCCTCATATCGTACCGCACTGGCGCTGCTTACTCGTCGATATGCTTGTCCCACGCTACTTCTTGTTCTTCGCCGCGCTGTTGACACTCTTGGTGACAGCGCTACCCGCCACTGCTGAACCACCATTTCCGCCGTGCGTCGGGTAAGCTACAGAGCTAAAATTATGTGAAACAAGAAAGTTAATGTGCACAGTGGCTCGATTTACTTTACCGCTCACACCATAGACAGCCTGCTATTCCAAAATCCAGACCTCTACCACGATCTCTACGTCTTCAAATGCATCACCACGATCGTTCTTACTGCAGATAGCGGCGGTGAAGCAGCCAATCACACTCGTTTGCTAGAGCTTGAGCGTGGTCTCGAAAATGCTTACAAGTTCATGTCTGATGTGTCATCTGGTGATGCAGATGACAACCAGTCTGTGTCTGCTCTCACAGAGGCAACAACACGTGAGGCACCGCAAGACTTCTTGATTACGTGCAACGGAACTGAACAAAGTGTCGCAGTTGCCAACGATACGACGGCCCAGATTGGGGAGCACACAGTCTCCGTCTCTCCACTTCTCGGACGCTCGAATGTACAGATCATTTACCTTCGCCTTCCCCAGAGCGAATACTTCGGGAAAGGATACAATGCGTATTCTGAAGAGTCACTAGCCAAACTATACAACTCGGAGATACCGCAAATCTCTACGACGGACGGAAAGGTCACCTACACTCTTCAGCATGTAAAGGACATCATCGCAACGATCATCAGGGATAGACGGGCAAACGACATCCATATGCTGAACTACTTCGAAGCTCTCAACACCGATGAGGGCGATCAGCTCGACCATGCCGACCGCATTGTCTCTGCCAAGCTTGTGATGAACGTCACGGAGGACATGGGTTTCAATGGAAATGTCAAGGTGTATGTGTATGCTCACGGGCAGTGGAAGGCTGGCTGACATCACCAGATACGCAAGCGACTCATTACGCATGTTGCGAAACAACCTCAACACACCAGACTACATCAAGAAGGTCGATGCATTCTTCGAATACGCTAAGCATGATCCTGATATGGTACACTCATCACCTATACTGTCCACCTCGCAGCCGGAGTTATATCTAGTTTGCATTGCTAACATCAGTACAGTGTCAGAGTCTTGATGAGTGCGGTCAGAGGCGCCAGAACTTGGATGTCTCCAAGACTAAATACGCCGAGGTAGACCATGTCGCTGAGTTTCTGAAGCGGGAATACTACGTCGAATAAGCCTCTTTAGTGTTTATTCCAGGTGAAGACATGAACCAGGGAAGGACACATCCAGAACCGATGATGATATTCTGTCCATGATGAAAAGGACGTTGTAATAAGCTTGATGTGCTACATCATATACCGTGAATGAATTGAGATCACGTAAACATTGCTCGCTTAACGCCTGATATGCAAGTTTGAAACCTTTACTCCTCTTCCTTCTTCCAGCCCGACTTGCGCTTAATGTCGAATTCCACCGGACTTAACCTACGTGCTTGAATACCCGACGGAGACTCAGGCGGCGTGACAGTCTTTGCACCCATCTCGTCGTCGTCCTCGGGCTCCCAAGCCCTCTGTTTCGCTAGCAGAGCTGCAAGTTTGGGATCCACACCCATGCGTTCCGGCACCGGTGGAGGCACCTTTCTTGGTCCACCTGTCTTCCTCAGTCCCGCCTTTGAATCCATAGCTGCTGGTACAACGGGCGGAACCTGACCCTTGAGCTCTCGCATGATGGGCATATCAGACGGCGCAATTGCACCACCTAGACGCGCAAATGGCGCTGGACTTGAAGGTGACATGGGTATGCCCGAGGTTGTGGGTGTGTCGGGGATATCTTGAGATTCGTGAATAGGCACGCTGCGGCCACCTAGTTTGAAGCGGCCAATCTTCTGTTCGCCGACGGGAGGGAGGGCGTAGTTTGTTTCCCTGGATACCGTAGCGGGCTTGGGTGCTGGTGGGGGACGGGGAGCAGATTTGGCGACTGCGGGCTTGGGAACTGGAGCTGGAGCAGGAGGTGGTGGTGGTGGCATGCTCTTCATAGGTGGAGTGGCGGGTGGTGAGGGCGGCGCAGCTGTCCTTATTGGGACGTCTGTTCTGGTAGATCGGATCTGTGGAAGGAGTGAGGTTAGTAGATGCTGCTTCCAATCTTCAATGCCTGAACCTACTGCGTCTTCTTGGTATTTCCTCTCCATATGTTCCAATCTTGCGGACTCTCTCAATGCTCTCTGCATTTCTTCCTCCTCCTCTTTCTTCTTCCGTGCGGCTTCGTCCAAAGACTTTTGAATCATGATCTGCATGTCCTGGTCCAGCCTTTCTTGCAGTTGTCTTTCGTATTCTGCTTTACTCTGCCTTTCGACTTCTCTTGTGCGTGCCTCCTCTGCTGCCATCTTCTTTTCGTGTTCTCTTCGGCTTCTCTCTCTGGCTCGTTCTTCAGCTTCCCTCTCAGCCCGCCGCTTTTCCTCTGCTGCCTTCTTCTTCTCCTGTTCTTTACGACTTCTCTCCCTGGCTTGTTCCTCGGCCTCTTTCTCGGCCCGCCATTTTTCATCTGCTAGCCTGCGATTCTTCTCTAGGAGTTCTCTCTCACCACGTCGCAGAGCCTCCTCGTTTTCTGCGGCTTCCCTGCGTTTGAATTCTCTCTCCCTCTCCAGGTCGCGGCGCATAGCGGCTTCTTCGTTTTCGCGGAGACATCTACTGCAGATTCCGTTCTCATTCCAAGTTTTTATCGTGCAGCGGTCTTTTGTTTTAGGGTTCTCACGGTCACAGCTGACGCTAGTTCTTTCGAAGTAGGGGCAGTTGTATGTGTCGACATGATCATTCTGTTTGTGGCCGCACTCGAGTATTGTTATTGTGTACCTGCACATCTTGGGCGTAGATGTGGACGAGCTGAGAGACGAACACGAAGGTAAGTCGGCAGTGTACGATGGGGTATAGAGAGGGGTTGTGGAGAGGAAAACTAGGAAATGTTGTGATAGCAGTGATTAATACTTATACGCCGAGGGTATTGACCGCCCCCATGTACTAGTGAAGTGCTGCAGGAGTGATGGCCTCGTACACGTAGCTGCATCATATGACTCTGAAACAAGGCTGGAAGAAGCGGATGCTGTTCTAAGCCTGTGAAGGCACCAGATTGACATACAAACATCAGTACAACTCATCAAACAGCGGTCGCGGCTGCGTCCGCGCAGAGCGCCGTCAATGAGGCGAGCAGCGGCCGATTGGCCAGATGCACTGTCTGCGGTGTCTCTCCACCTACGACGGCACAGAAAGAGAGATCCTGTGCGTTCCTCAGCCCACCGACTGCTACTCCCAAAAGTTGCAAGGTCGCGAGGTGCTCCCAGCTCATGTGTTAGCAGACCCACAGTTTTATCAGACGTGGTTGACCGCCGTAGGCGCATTCCATCAGCATCGATGCGGCTCTGTACCGAGCCATTTTCGCTCACAGGCTAACACGGGGACATTGCCAGCAAAGGAACCCGCAGGCTAGAATGTCGCCTATGCCAGAGAAAAATGAAGCTCCCGCAGTGTGCAGAGACGACACCATGCAAGACGACGGTGTCGGTGGGGATAGCTACGTGGCGGGCTCAGCTATACTGGGCATGGTTGGATGCAGCAGAGGCGGTAATGTGTTTCAAACAGCGAGTTCGTAGACCCATGCATGCTCGGGAGAGCGGCGATCAGGTAATACTATCGATCATATCCAGCATGAAGCGATGTTTGAGAAGACCTGAACTATGCGGAGTAAGAGTGAAGAGGCGTGCAAGGCCGGATGGAGTGGGGTGTTGAGAGCAACCAATCAGAGGCGGCTGATTGTAACGGCCCCTGTAGATTGACTTGGCATTTCGGATGAGCTTCATCGTTGACATCTTCAATCGACGCCATCGCCTCCAGCCCGCAGCACAACCCACCATGGCCTCAAGACTTGTCCCCCTCGCATGCAGGATTGCCCCACGGGCCTCGCGACAGTTCCAGAGGGCTCAATGGCGGGCTTTCAGCGTATCGCGGCCGTCATGGAACGAGAGCGGCTCGCTCAACGTCGTATGTCTTTTCTGTGTCTTGCGCTGAAAGCCGAGCTGACATATCTGTAGCACCGCGACACGCCCCAAAATAACCTTAAAATTCCCTTCAAGTTCACGCCACAAAATGAGGAACTCATCCAAGAGATTGTCTCCCGATACCCCTCGCAGTACAAGAAGGCCGCCGTAATGCCGCTCCTCGACCTGGGACAACGCCAGCACGGATTCTGCAGCATCAGCGTCATGAACGAGGTTGCGCGGATACTGGAGATGCCACCAATGCGTGTGTACGAAGTTGCGACTTTCTACACCATGTACAACCGGGACCCAGTGGGCAAGTTCCACGTCCAGGTCTGCACAACTGTGGGTTGACTCTATGCTTGGCGTCAAGGGCAGCAGCTGACAGCATCTAGACCCCATGCATGCTTTGCGACAGTGACTCCGTTATGAAGGCTTGCGAAGACGTCTTGGGTGTACACCACGGCGAGACTACTGCGGATGGCCTCTTCACTTTCTCAGAGGTAGAATGCCTTGGTGCATGTGCGAACGCGCCCATGGTCCAAATTAACGACGACTACTACGAGGACCTCACATACGACTCAACAGTCAACCTGCTTAAGGCTCTCAAGCACGCCGCTCAAACCACCGGTGCGCAGCCCGGAGACAAGGGCCTGGCGAGTGGATCTGGCAAGGGATCGCTCAACGTAGAGGCAGGTGCTGGCGAGGCTCTCGCCAACCAGCAGGGACGAGAATACGCGGCTGGCGGTGCCAAGCTACCATCACCAGGACCATTGAGCGGAAGGAAGAGCTGTGAGCCAGCAGGCGGTCTCACTTGCTTGACAAGTGAGCCCTGGGGCAACGAGACTTTGAGGAAGGACGGTGAGCTATAGAGGGTTTTTGTAAATACTGTAACATCTTCCCTTGCATCCAGAGTAAAAGTCTTGGGGGGCTGATCTTCTAGCAGCGTCATGTAGACCATCTCAAATACCAAATTTGTTCAACAATCTACATGCACATGTGTCACAAGTTGATGTTAACGTATAAGTGGTTACATTATTCCTGACTTCTCAATATTGTACAAGCCATGCCATGTTCACTCATTGGACTCGAATGCTTCTATATATCATCCATAATTGTTCCTTGCCGAGTTCGTTTTCGACTCCTAAAACGATTAAAATAGAAATGTGCATGCAATGTTGTGCAACCTGCAATGGCTACAATCCTGTCAAACGCCTTCGCTATATCCATGGGACGGGGTTCCCAAAAACAAAACCCCCCAAGCCGTGCCGGTCCCAAATGCAATGCTGATGTGTTGTAATCAAGGCTGTCGTTGGCGTTATACAATGTCACCTGCTGTCGGTAGACGATGTCGTGTATCTAACTTTTCGGAAAAGATTCTTCGTCATGAGATTCCTGCCGTCTTGTCCGGAGAGTACTCGTGATGCGAAGTGAGAAGTAAATGCGCTGGGCTGTAGTTCGGTTCGATAATGGTCATGTTGGACTGTTTGTCCTACAAAAAGCCCGAGTTCAACTTGCCCATCAGCAGGTCTCGTGTCATCTCGAAGCTGAGCCAACTGCTAGCCATGCTGGGCGCGACCTTGAGAAGGTTGGGTACGATACCCTTGTAGAGACCCCTAAAGCCTTCAGTCTTGATGATCTGCTTGATAGCATCGCCAATTCCCGCATACTGGTACCCCATGCCACTCATGGTGTTGATCTGGAATCTCCGCCGCAGAACATCAAACGGGTATGTGATGGTCTGCGCGACAGCACCGGAGACGGCACCTGCTCCTAGCTTGCCAATAGCACCGGGATCCTTCTGGCCGTCGCGTGTGAATTTTGTACGGGCAATCTCGTAGACCATGAAATTAAGGCCGACATACGGTGCGACACCTGCCACGGTGGGAAGGATGCCACGATATAGCGCCGGAATGCCACCCTCGGTCTTGTACATATTCGCAAGCAACGCCCACATGCCCGGTAACTTCTGGCCAGCTTCCTTCTTGAGATCGGAAAACGATGCGGATTGAATGGATAGACGGGTGCGGACGATATCGAGCGGGTAAGTGAAGGTTACGGATGTGATACCAGCAAGACCACCACAGAGTAGTCGCTGATAGGCATCGAGGGGCGCGCCTGGTTCGCTCTCGAAGAACTAGGGCAAGTCAGCTATGAGAAATTGGGGAAAATCCCGTTACCATCATTCTCATTGAAATTCCTTGATGTCCTCGTGCACCCCTAAAGCGCTCTCCGTTTCTCCGGCTCTCAGGTCCTTCCCAACTTACCGTCACCCCTCTCCTTTCTGATTCCTCCCTTACCTTGTTCCTCCTGACGCAGAGTTCATGAAGCAAATCGCTCGCGAGAAACCAAAAAAAAAGACGTTGTAGGAAAGAGTAATGACTTACTCGCTTATAGACGTTGTATGCGCTGAATTGCACAGCAGAGTATGGCACAATGCGTATACAGTTGGTACCGTTTCCGGCCATGAAGCCTCTCCAGCCCTCTTCCCTCCACATCTTAGCCAGTGCCTTGGGGACCGACATTTTGTATTCTTCGCGACCAACACTCTGGACCTGAAACAAGATCTTAAGGCGTTCGAGCGGGGATACGACGGTTCGAGATACAGCGCCCGCTACGCCGCCAGCAACAAAAGAAGCCAGGACTGGCTGCGCGAAGACCTGGCGAATGCGCTGCAGGCTGGTGATGTCTGGCGTGCCGAGGGGCTACGATGAGGGGTCAATTGGCATTTTGTGAGTAGAAGTGTGTCCTGTACTTACTTTTATGCCCTTGCCCGGTTCGTCGCTCATGATTGCGGGTGCTTGCGATTGCGGCTTCTCTGATGGTTTCGACATGGCTCAAGTCGACGTTACTGGAAACGTGGCGCTGTTGCCCTAGAAAGTGCAGTGTGTATTGTCCGGACAGGGACAGGTTCTATCGAAGCAAAGAAAAGATCGCGCGACGGAATGTCGAGGTCATCGGAAGTTGGTGTTGCTGAGGTGAAGACAGATTTCCGGCCGTATGGGGTGAGCAGGACTTGTCGATTCACAATGGGTTCGATCTTCCATGCAAGGCAGTTTTCAGATGAGTGCGTAGAGGTGTCTTCGCGCGCGTGTCATGGGTATTGCGGCTCGTTAGTGTTGTCGTGTTTGGATGGTTTGGTAGTGGAGATTTGAGGATACCGCGGGAGGAAGGAGCAGATTTTAGGCTAGCGCCACCAACCAACGAATGCCATCAGACATGCTTATAACAACCACGGTACTCGCTGTCAGCCCGGTCTTTCGCGACTCGATACTTGGCCCCGGTTGACACCTGTCATCGTCTGTTCCCGGGGTCAGCCCCTTGATGGGGCTGACTACGAGTCCACTAGAATCACAGGGCTGACCCCAAGTCACAATGATTCGACGCGCATCATAGCAACACGTCAGGGGAACACAAGGGCAGGTCGAGGGAAACTGGCGTTGCGCCTCAGTCACCCCTTACTAGGCATGACAGTCAGCTGCGCGCAGTCACCCCCTTTATATCAGCTGTTGTTAGAGACGCAGCAGGTCGTTGTCCTGTAGTTATGCTGCTCATGACCTTGGTACGCTCTGTTCGTCTGAGATGGTTGTCGTCACATGCGGAACCGTCTCGCTTCCGGAATGCTACCGCTCTGTCACCACATATCACGAAGGCATCCAGAGTATACACTTTCCTGAGCACACGACCCCACACCCAGTTAAGATAGCGTCCTCACTAGACTCTAGAGGACAGCGGGGTACACATATCGGCCGTGGAGGTTGTAGACGATGCGAGGTTCCGAGGTCAAAGACGATAATAATCCGGAGATGACCTCATTTGCAGCCCCGATGAGTGCTCGCCATTGCAAACACAGCAGACGTCCTCTAGTAAAGATGATGATGGTGTCGCTTGCAACAAATCGACGTCGGAGCTGCGTTCTCTTCTGCCGGAGGCTTTCTGCAGAGCTAATACTACAACTGACCTGTCGAGCTGTTGTTCATGTCCGTTATCGATAAGGATGTATAAGACCTGCGAGGGCAAAGGCGAAGGCGAAGGCTCAACCTTTGCGCCTCCTCTATGCTATCACGTCGCCTATTCCGGCAGCTCACCGATAGCTTGCTACTGGAATCGACATGTCGTCCAGTAGCATCAGCCTGCTTTGCCTCAACATGTGCGACCCGTGACTTTCGTCAACCAAGAAATGTGCCCTCATCTCGTCGTTCGTCTTCATCTTCGACCAAATGGAAGTCACGTCAAGGCAGGGACTTCTTCTCCAAAGAAGCTAAAGTCCAGGGTTTAAAGAGCCGCGCTGCATTCAAGTTGCTCGAGGTAATGGCTCCCTTTACGACAGATGCACAGTCGCTGACATGCAATAGCTCAACGGCAAGCACAAGCTATTCAAACCCGGACAAACCATTGTTGATCTTGTAAGTTTGTATACATTTTTGAGATGATATAGCTCATATAAGCCAGGGATTTGCACCAGGGTCATGGTCTCAGGTTTGACGGACACATCTGCTCAAGCGATCCCATCTTAATTTCTTCAGGTCGCTGCAAATCGTACTGCCCCAGATGGTCGCGTCATAGGTATAGATTTGATACCTGCACAACCACCAAGAGGTGTCTCCACTATACAAGGCGATTTTCTCTCACCTGTGATCCAGGACGAGGTTCGAGCCTATGTCCGAGATCCAGAATTGGGCCGACTTAGGAGGCAAGTTTCTGCAAAGGCGGATGAGGGGGTTACTGAAGAAGAGCTGGACGACATGGAACGTGGGTACATTGATATTGAGCGACAAGCTCATCTAGACGGTGCAGAACTCGAGCCGATCGGGCGGCTAGCAGAGGGTAGTGACGCAGACCAAGAGGATCTGTCAAGGCTCTCGGTCAAGGAGAGGGATGCGCGGCAAGGCAGAGCAGTGGACGTTGTGCTCAGCGACATGTCAGAACCCTGGGACCAAACGGCCGGCTTCTACAAGAAGAGCCTTAGTGACCCATATTCTAGGTTGATGAACACGAGTGGAAACGCGTTTAGAGACCACGCTGGTAGTATGGTAGGTGTCTCTGCGACCAGCCGCGGCCTGACTAATGTTTGTAGGACTTGTGCATGGCTGCCATGACATTCGCATTCGATACACTGAAGACTGGCGGTCACTTTCTCTGCAAGTACTACAAGGGGTCAGAGGAAAAGGCGTTTGAGACGAAGCTCAAGCGTCTCTTTGCCAAAGTGTACCGAGAGAAACCGGAGTCGTCACGCGCGGTACGTCTTGTTGCGCGACTGACGTTCTTTACTGACTGGCTCCAGGAATCAAGAGAGGCGTACTTTGTAGCACTGCGCCGCAAAGAGACGCCCACAAAGGAGGAGGTCTTTCAAGAATAACAAAGGAATTTACACATGTTCAGTGTGGAGTGGTATCTATACATATTACTTCGGTCCGAAATATGTACTGTAGATCCCGAGGAGTGATCACGTTTTGCGCTCTCTACACCGAGACTTTCCTCTTCGGCGCCATGTTCCGACGTCATGCAGCCACATGGATATATCACACACACTGGAAGGAGTGTTGAGGACTGGGACCCGGTTAACGAGGCCATCCACACACCGCGTGATGAGCTAAGGGCTCGCTTAGAATCGCAGGATGAGAACCTATGATGTAGTTACACTCGATTGCCAAGCTCATCACGAATACAACGTGGCGTTTTTAGATGAGGCAGGAGTGCACAAGGGAGAGGGATAGCAAATGTGAGGTACAAGGCAGAGATGTGTGCTGCTTCCAAATCGCCCCATGGCGGCCCCGTCTTTCCCAGGAGTCAGGGACATGGCACATGCAAGTGGCCGTTTATTTAGATGCCGGATAAGAGCCCCAGGCCCGGTATTAATGGCAGGCCGTCGTACCTGGTGACAGATCTGGAAGCGTCTCGTCCCATGGCGGGGGGATATGTCAAGCATTTTTGTGGGCCCATGTGACAAGGATGCGGAAGGTGTGAGGTTGCTTGAGGCGCTGCATTAGGACATGCTTGCACGCTGATGCAGTAGACAGTCCTGCAGAATTTGGGCCGTTTTCATGTTCCTTTTGCAAGTGTTGCTTGCGCTCGTGAAAGAAGCAGTCGCGCTGGAGTGAAGGGAGAAGAAGGCCAACGATGACTCGCTCGGCTGGCCTGAGCTGGGGTTGCAAAGCTTCCAGAGCCGAAACCCAAGCTTATCACGAACCGCACGTTTTCTCCCATCAACCCACCGATCAATCTAATCCGAGTTGTGCGACGTGGCCAATGAGTGCCGACAATGGATTTCAATAACCCTAATGCGTATGGCGGCCAGTTCGCCAATTCTCCGCAACACGCCCAATTCGATGCACAGGCGCGGCTTCAGCAACAGGGCAACCCACATGGACAATATGGGCAGACCGCATCTTTCCCGGGCATGGGTGGCGCCATGGGCAGCAACGGAATCCAGCCAGGAGCCCCATATCTCCAGCAGCGAGGTAAGCCAGTGACGTGCGCGTGTTCTTGATCTGCCCCATGGCCGCAAATGGGCGCGTTCCTGGCTGACATGACACCATGGAACAGCCGCCATGCAGCAACAGCAGCAACAGCAACAACAGCAACAACAACAACAACAGCAGCAGCAGCAGCAACACCAGCTGTCGTCGCCGAGCCCCTACTCCAACGCGCCCTATGCGCAGACGATGCCCTCGCCCGCCCACCACCAGTTTGCCCAGAACCGCCAGACGGCCTCCCCCGCGAGCACCACCGGACAGGCGCCCTTTGCGACGCCCCAACCCCAGCAGTCGCCCAGTAGCATGCAGACCAACGGCCAGCAGCAGCCCATGAATCTCCAGCTGCCCGTCAAGGCCGAGCCGCCACAGGTCCACACGCCAGTCAAGCAGGTGCCCCCGTCGCCTGTGTCGCCAGTCAACCAGGCGCGCAGTGCCGACCGCGTCGCGACCCTCCTCGACATCAACAGCATCCTCATAAAGGAGGTCTGCGAGCTCCAGGTGCAGGGCAAGGCCGGCCAAGTAGGGCCCACGCCAGAAGGGAAGCCCGAAGGCGACAAGCCCCAGCCATCCAAGGAGTACGTAGAGTGAGTGCGCCGCCTCCCACGCGCCGTCTCAGCTAACAAGCCCAGCTACATGCGCCGCCTGCAGGCAAACCTCGCATACCTTGCGCAGAACGCCGAGAAGGTGCCTAAGCCTGGTCAACAACTACAGCCTGGGCCTGCCATAATGTCGATTCCCGCCGCCCCCGCCGAGCTCGCAAAGCTGTATACCAAGCTCCAGGAGCTGTTTCCGGGATGGAAAGGCCAAACTCCCCAGATGAAGCAATCACCAGGACCACAGCGCATCAACTCGAATACCTCACAACCACCGAATAGCGCAGGCCTGCAGCAGAATTGGGGGCAGAACGCTATGCAGCAGCAACAGCAGCAGCAACAACAACAAGCTAAGCAGGAGAACCAATAAAGGGTCGAACAACCTCCTCCATCGCAGGCGTATGGACGGCGTTACTGTACTTTTATACCTTGTGTAAGATTGGCGTAGACAAGACGTGCTTGTCATGGGTGTTTTTGAACAATTCTACAAAAGAGTCGGACACAGGATGCTTGTTGAACTACATGATATCGGCAGTTCACTTCCAAGAACGGTTATTGATAAGCGTCTCAGCGGGTATATCTCTATAATTCGGAATTACAAAACGGTCGACACAAGGCAGCTGCAGTTACAAACAATCACAGCTAACAAAATGTGGCGGAATGAATCCAGCTACGCAGATCGTGGAATGAATCACACACTACAGAGATGGACAAGGTTGTTGGGCCCACCCAATCTAGACAAGCATAATGACATGGTCTCGGGTAGTTGAAGCATGCTGATACGCGTCCAATACTAGCATACTAATCACTACGTCTTCGGCCTTGCAACTATGAACCATATCTACCAATTCGGTGCAGACAACGTCACCATACCCGCAATTAATGAATTGACGAACACTCCGAAGTGAAAGTACTCAACGGCGCCACCGCGCTACCTTCCAAGCCCTCGGTTGCCAAAATAGCGGATCCATGATATAGTCTCAAATGATCGACACTACCGCTAGGAGTTGCAAGGATTTGTGTTGCATAAGACTACTGCTGGCGCAAGACTTCCTTATCCTTGTTTGCAGGATTCAACCATCCGGCCCGCTTCATGCGAGCAGTCAATAGTGGAAGACTCTCGAAATCCTGAGAACGTGAGGTTACCATTACGGTCGAAAATGCTGTCAACCACTAGTAAGCCAGTAAGCACAGCTTCGTATTTAGCATTGAATAACTTCAATATGGCGCCCTGTCGGATCTGATCACATCTGCGGACGTATTGCGCTTCATAAGGGAAACCATCAAAAATAATTGGTCTAGCTCTTTGCGTTCATTCTCACCACCCTTGACATTCTATAGCTAGCTATATATGACCACCACTACAGTGTGACTTGCTTGAGGCGACGTGTGTTTCAGGTATCTAAGGTCGAATAAGAGTCACACCTTACAAGCTCTGGCTCATTGACCGTACTTGTACACATTCCAGTCAATACCGATTTTGACCTGTCATTCCTCGTCGAGAAGAGGAACTCTCGCAACAGTGAACACGCCGAGCAATCCGAAAAGCGCTTTTTAGACTATTGGGTATTGTTCATGGATAGCTGGGATTGGATCCCCTTATGTCGCCCGTTCGAAATATCTGACTCACGTTGACACCTTAAGGCACACCACGGCTTACACGTAGTGCTTGCCTGACGTCATTTCAGGCGAAAGCCATAGTCAAGAACGCTCTTCTCTTCACTTCCTTTGGCATCAACAGGCTCTTCTGCTTTTGTCAATACAAACCAAAATGACCGAAGTTCCGATTCACGTAGAGCTCAACAGCCGTTACAACGCCTTCGATACATCAGGAAAGCTACCATTCAGTGTGGTCTTCGGTCTCTGTCGATTACAAAAGTCCGATACAGACTCTCGACCAATACTCGTTGAAACGGCTGGTTCAGTCTTCGATGTGCCTTACGCCCTGACGCATGGATTACTTTTACTGTACGAAGAACGCCCTGGGGAATCTACGAAGTGGGTTGAAGTGGATACAAGCTCGATGGGCGAGGTGGATGAGAGCAACTCAGGTTGCATCTCAGTTCCGTCTCCGATCCACCGGAAAAAGAACTGGAGAGATGATCTCACAGTATACCTATGTGCTATCGATCCTCAGGGGGTGTTAGCATTAGCCCTGAAGCCGCGAAAAAGATACAGGATAAAACTCGCAAGCCGCGACCTTGGTGTCAAAAAATGGGTGTATAGTGACCGAGAAAGGTTTTCCGACAGCGACGGAGACGGTGAGGAGGCGAAACTGGTAAACAGCTACTCTCACGGCCATGCAGCTTTTAAGGTTGTTGATGACCTGACGTTTCCACCCCAACTAGAGATAAGAATGCGCCTACTCAAGAGTACGTCCTTGGAAGTCACTGTTGTCAATGCTGGCTCTGAGACTGTAACCGTGCAACCACGGGGGCACCAGAACTTTCTCGTCCCATGGGGTCCTTCGGCTCCAGAACCTGACACCCTCGACGATCGCCCAAGGATCATCGACCAGTCAAAGCAACGACACTCGCCCGTGTCAAGTCTCTTCGTCGTCAATGATGCAACTGATGAAATAGTGCGCGGACATCACGATACTAGCATCTGCCACTTGAGGGATTCAAAAGCCGACCTGCGACCGACGATTGATGAGTTGTCAATCTTGAAGCCTGAAACCCCAGTCGTTAACGTAGTCGATATTAGCTCAAAGATTAAGGGCCTTGAGGACGGACGATACAAGATTCGAATGCATCCAAAGGGTTGCCGATGGTGGCGCGACGTGCTGAGGAAAGAGGAGGGAGAAGGCGAGAAGGTCCCAGTGCGTCTATGGAAGATTTGGACTGTTCCAATCATGCTGGATTCAGAGGACGAATTAGAGATAACCATCAAAGATGGGAAAGTAGATGGAAGTGCGTAAGACATGATCGGTAGCTTGGCGGATGCTAATACGCGCGCTGACGTCATGTTGAACATGTCGCGTGGCACACGCGTGGCAGAGTTGTTGCTGTTGTACGCGTAACATCAATTTGGGCACTTTCATATGCTGACGATGTTCAGCGCGCCGAACATTCTGCAGCGATGAATTCATTACAGTACGGAGAGGCAAAGGGAGCCGATTTCGGACCGTCGGACCATTTCATTTGACATGACGCCATATCAAAAAGTCCCCGATTTACTAATCTACATTGCCGCCATAGACACCGCACCAAAGCTCTAGAACACACCTCAGGCACCTGATTGCTCTCACAAACTTCACAATGGCTTCTTTTTTCCCTCGTGCAGCTTCCCGAGCTCTTCGCTCTTCAGCGCGCCCTGCACTAAGGGTACAGCGCCCTGCTGCCCCACTATTCCGTCGTGGATTCGCGCTCCCAGCTGAGCAACCACGACTGAGACTGGGATCCATTGGTATGTGGTTCTTGGAGAGAATTCCAAGTCAAGAGGTGAATCATACTGACCATGCGTAGCACCCAACTTTCAGGCGAAGACTACTCATGGCGACATGGTAGATATCTCCAACAAATTGTTTGTGGAAGATATACTGACCTCAAACAGGACTTCCATAAATTCTTGGACAACAAGTGGACCATCCTATTCTCGCACCCTGCCGACTTCACTCCCGTTTGCACAACTGAGCTTGGAGCTTTCGCAAAGCTCAAGGATGAATTTGATGCGCGAGGCGTCCAGATGATTGGTTTGGTACGTCTCATCGTACCTCTGGTGGCTTAACATCAGCCTACTGACGTATACTGCAGAGCGCCAATGACCTAAGCTCGCACGACCAGTGGATCGACGACATCAACGAGACGTCCAACACCACGGTACAATTCCCAATCATCGCTGACGCAGATCGCCACGTCGCTTTTCTCTACGATATGATCTCGCAAGACGACCTCGACGCGCTTCAGAAGAACGGTGGCATCGCCTTTACAATCCGTTCGGTCTTCATTATCGATCCGGCGAAGAAGATTCGCCTCACAATGTCGTACCCCGCGAGCACGGGCAGGAACACTGCAGAGGTCCTTAGGGTCATCGACAGCTTGCAGACAGGAGATAAGAAGGGTATTGCGACACCTATCGATTGGCAGAAGGGCCAGGACGTCATCGTACCGCCCAGTGTCTCCACTGAGGATGCGAGGAAGAAGTTTGGCGATGTCAGGGAGGTCAAGAAGTACTTGCGCTTCACTAACGTCGGACAATGAGCGCACGTGTGAGGCGGAACACAAGAAAGTTCATCATAGTACTAAGCGGCTCAAAAAAAAAACATGCGACCTTCACGAGCGGCATCTCATGTTACTCGACATCCACTAGAATTACATAACCCAAAGACGCACTCTTGACTAGACGCATTCTCGTCTTTAGTCTATTTCCTTGGTTACCTGATTGTATTCTTCTGCTACTTAATGTTCAGCAATGCTCATGCTCTGCGTAGATTCCTTTTCCATATGTTGATGTCAGTCCTTAGATGTTATATTTTCTCAGCATCCAGTGTTTCCTTTCGATAGCATATACATCAGTCGTGGGGGATTAGGCAACTTGGCAGGAAATGAGCAGAAATTGATTTTGAGCTTAAGAGAGCGCGGTAAGTTTTGTTCCCGATAGGTCATAATACGCGCAGCGAAATGTAGGTTGCGTGGGTAACGCGTCCCATCTGCTCAGGATTCCAGTCTCTTTCTACACTACACGATGGCACGCCAAGGTAGGTTGTGAATTCACAGAATGCATTTAGGGCCTCACTGACTTGTACACTGGCATCTGCAGGATACCTTGCCCGAAGAATGCGACAAGCTACTCTCAACCTACGATAGTGTGATACAACACGCAAAGAAATGTGAGCGCTCGGACCTGTATACCATTCGGACATGTCCGTGGCTGGTTCGCATGGAAGCACCTATGGATTCTCGCGCGTATGCAACGCACGCTGGCTTGCACAAACGCGACCCTTGAGGAGAATTACAGTGTAGCAAATGTGAAAAGTTCTGGTGCGACCTTTACCTTCTAGCCGGACACGAGATGAAGTGCAAGGGTGAAGAAACGACCAAGGCCAGTGCGAGATTTGATGGCTTACTACGATCAACAGAGGCAGGTCGGCATTGACAGAGTTTTTTTCTGAATGTTTGATATGCGTTGGATTAACAACACACGCAAATGTAGATCCTTATCAGGACATATCCATATCCAACATAAGTACCAGGGTATCATTCACAACGTCTCCTACGATCCAGCCGGTGCCGCGAACGACAACCTTACAACCTGCCCTCCATCACCTCCAGCTTCTTTCTTCCATCCAAGCACCTCATCCTTGTTTCTGTCTTTGTTGACCTCCCACGGATTGATAAATCCTGCACTCAGGTTACCCGTCTTTACACCTTGAATAGCTAGCTTTTGCTTCGCCTGAGCAATGTATGCGTTCAAATAGCCTTGAGTAATGAGGCTGCCGCAGATGCACTCCATCTCCAACAGATCAAACTCATGGGTGTATGGCTGCACCCCTTCCATACCAACGAAATCAGGGTCGATGTATGTTGACTTATTTGTTGATGCGTGGTCTTGGTAGATATGGCCGAAATTGCGACGACCTGGGCCGCGGTCTTGCACGGCCATGACAGCGTTCTTGATGAGCGAACGCGCCTCGAGGAAGCGGAAGATAAGAACGGCTGCGTTGAGGTCGAGCAAAGCTGCTGATTTTGATGCTTCGCCTATGCTTCCGGTGAGGATGAAAGTCTTACGGAGAAGTGCCCACCATACGAGAACCTCGCAATAGTTGCCAATCGGGTAGAAAATCCGGTACTTGATCATGAACTCTGCACTTGGATGTGAGAGGTCCAGGTTCGTTATCCGACGGAAAGTTTCGAGGTCGCCCTTGCGAATTGCACGAGTGAGCGGTTCGAATACTTCGCGGAAGCCTACGCATGCAGGGTCATTGTAGATATATTCATTTGGGAAACGCCCAAGGATGATGTTGGCAGCGACAAGGCAGACGGCAATCAAGCGACGTTGACTCGGACATTGCCTGTGGCAGCCTCTGTAAGCTAGTTCCAGAACGAGCTGAGCTCCGTAGAAGTTGGTGTTGCTGAATTGGTATCGCCCGAGGTAGTAAAGATAGGTGATGCGTTCCGCAGCTGGATAAATGTGTAGTGGTGGTGATGAGTTGGATATGTTGTTGAAGATGGTTTCGCAGCTTCCAAGCTTATCGGCCTGAAACAAAGTCTTCAAACATATATTTGCCATTTTGTAGATTCCAACCTTCTTTCCATCAGGTTTGCCGTCTTTGATGCCACCTGGCACCGTATTACGGTCATTGAGGCATATAATGAAGGCCTGTCGTACAATGTTGGCCGCCCTTTCGGGCAATGATTCACTTTGCCCATCCTCGTCGACGTCGGTAGTGATGAGATGCATTGTCAGGTCGGGCCGCTTCTCTAGTCCAATCGCCACTCTTGCAAACACCTTTGCATAGTACATGATGGTGGGAAGCATCAGGATGCCTTTAGTAGGATGTTGTAAGGCGCTGTTTGCTCGCCTAGAGATACGTCAGCGTCGAGTAGTTTTGAGGCATACACTTATTGACCTACGGTTGAAGATCTGTCATGAGCTCAAACACCAAAACCAAATTCTCTGCGTCTACGTCTCGGAGAAAGGTCATCCATCCGACGAGAAAAGTAACCAACGAACCCCAAGACTGTACTGGTCTACCCTCCTCGTCCTCTGACTCTGCTGTCTCAGTCACAACCCGTCTGACAAGATCTTCAAGACGTTTCTCAGAATCTCCATTGCCAGCAGGGTAATTCTGCTGCAAGGATTTAATGAGTTCTTGATGATCGGGTGGAAAAGCATTGCCTTCACCTGGCTCCAGAAGCACAATCGACTGCAGTTGATATGGATCCTCGGCTTGGATAGCGACGTTGACCGCCGTACACAAGCGTGTCTCTACATCGGGTTGGCTCCGGAAGAAGGACATGGCTACAGGAGCCACCGTTGGTGGTTAAGTGAAGAGTCGAGCTAAGCGGTGGATTCAAAGAGCAGCAGCAGAGCGCTTTAGGCTTAGCGTCAGGTCCTAGCTCCCAGACTCACCACCCGCTATATCCTTGTCGCCGATCTGTGAGAAACATCCTTTATTCGTTCCCAAACTTTGGTCAACGTTGGCCACTAGGATGGTGTCTTGAACCAAATTCACATGGGCAACTCGAATATGGAGGAACCGTTGGGTGGGAGACATCTGAAAAGCAATGGCGAACGCCGTCTCAGCTTGCGCGGCCGAACGCAACCCAGCAGTCTCGGAGGCTTTCACATGTCAGACCAATGCAGCGGTTCCACCGTGACATCACAAGTAGTAATATGCGAAACACAACGTCCGAAGCTGCACGTTTCCGTAAGGATCCGCAAGAGGATAAACGCCACCAAAACAAGTCAAGCTCATGTAGTTTTAAGTTCTGTGACTGTCACCCTGCTTTCACCTTTGCATCTCTATCCTCCCGAAAAGCCAGAAAGCCATCTGCCACGATGGGTTACTTCTGGAGTTACATCAAATATTTCCTCACCCACCCTGTCCTCTTCATTTACCAAGTCATACAATATGTGCTTGATTGGGTTCTGTCGCCAACACCGCCACCACCACACCCAAACCTCGTGCGCCCAAAAATCGCTGTCATTGGCGCAGGTTTAACAGGAGTATCTGCTGCATCGCATATTGTTGGCCATGGCTTCGACTGTCGTATCTTCGAAGCAGGGTCCAAGAAGAATCTCGGTGGAATTTGGAGTCGGGTGAACAATACGTCTGGTCTGCAAATTCACTCGCTCATGTACCGGTTCCACCCTTCCGTGCACTGGAGCCAAGGATATCCGGATCGCCAGCAAATTGTTTCACAGATCACGGAACTCTGGAAACGATATGGTCTTGAAAGTAAGACTGAGTTTAACACACGTGTTGAAAAGGTGTACAAAGATCCTCATGGGCGATGGATCATCAATGATCCCTCTCACGGACGGTTCGATGGTGTAATAGCTGCAATTGGTACTTGTGGTGATCCTAAGATGCCCACGCTACCTGGCCAAGAGAATTTCAAGGGTGAAATTTGGCATAGCTCGCAGCTCGACGGCAAGAACGCTAAAGGCAAGAAGGTTGCTATTATAGGCGGCGGTGCCTCCGCAGTTGAAGCTTTGGAATTCGTAGCCAGCTCAGAAGCAGAGCACACGAACGTCCTCGCCCGGTCAGAGAAATGGATCATCCCACGAAACCCGTTCATCGATAGCCTTCTTGCTCTGAACATCTTCGGCAGCGAGACCATCTTCAGTTGGATTCCTGAGTACATCCTACGACTCTTCTTCTACCGTGACCTCTACGATATCTCTCCTGCGCCCAACAGCGGAAAGGGTCTGTTCACTGAAACACCAATGGTAAATGACCAAGTGCTAGACCTCGTCCGTTCAGGCAAAGCATCATGGCTTCGCGGCGACATCATGGGCTATGACGAATCCGGCAATGGCATCAAGTTTAACAAGCGTGCTCAAGGAGTTCCTAAGAACGGCCCTGGCTCTGAGAAACTAATTGAAGCGGATATTGTTATCATGGCAACGGGATATAAGCGTCCAAGCCTAGGTTTCTTACCAGATGAAGTCTTCAACGAGCCGTACGAGCCACCAAACTGGTACCTCCAAGTCTTCCCACCTGAACACCCTTCAATCTGTGCAAACAACTGCACATATGTCAACGCTATTGGCACAGTTGGAAACTACCATATCGGCATCTACACACGCTTCCTGCTCATGTACCTCGTTGACCCTCTGGCTCGACCGCGCACCTGGTGGATGAAGCGCTGGATCGACATGACGCGGTTCATCAAGAGTAAAGCTCCTGGTGGGGCTTTCGACTTCTTCACATATTCAGAACTGATCTATTGGTTCGTTTTTACGATTGCGATCAATCCATTCAGGTGGAAGTGGGCGGCTTTCGTGTTATGTGGTATTGGGAAAGGATTGCCGTTGAGCGTAGTAGAGCAAGAGGATCGAGCACGAAATGGCCTGGGCATGAGACATATTTTGAGTAACCACGATAACGGAGAAGACTAGGTTCTTGTGGTTCAGAGGCTGACAGGAGCGAGACAGCGATGTATATCCCAGTCTCTAATGTAGTAGGCGGTGAAGAGTTCACTCTTCAACGTGACTCCAATCCTTTATGATGAGTGCGCAACATGCTTTGGATGAACACATCGTTCATGCACATCCCGACTATCTTGCAAAAGTTTTTGATGCCATTCCATCAATGAGAGCGGTAGAGAATCCGATATCGCCATAAACCAGCTCTTGCATCCCTTCTCTTATACCAAGTTTAATACCACTAGACGCACCCATCACCCCGCAACATGACTGATTGTGTCCCAGCGAGCATTCTTGACCCTTTGTACAGAATATCGGTAGATACCAATGCGCGGTGGACAAGGCAGTCAATCGATACTTGGTATGCGAGAGCGTGAAGCGATACTGTCGGGCTGACACAAGAACAATTCAAGAGGGCGCGCCGGCGATTAAATACTTCACGTTGCTCTGTGCAACTAAGATTCTATGTGTTCAATAAGAAAAGGAGCAGGCGGTGAAGTTTTCCCTATCGATATCGCAGATTGCGTGGTCGGTGCCTCTGCCCAAACTCCACCCCCTTTTGCACATTTTGCAAAGTTTGCTCACGGTATGCACATAATTCACTGACTCTTTCAAAACTTTGGATAATACGAATGGGTTGTGCAAAGAGGAGCCGGCTGGGTACACATGAGGCGCGTCTGACCCCATGCATCTCCATGGCAACAATGTTGCAAATATGCGAGAGGCGCCGGGCAAAGCTAAACCGTCATCCGGCAGGATGAATCGTGAAGATTGACAATGGAAGATGATGCGCAATGGTGTGTTTAGAAATCTGAAGGGTCTACCCCGCGGGAAGACGAAACAGCGCTGCAGAATTTTGCCGTTCTTTGTACTGGCGAAATTTAAATCTGGAATGTGACGATGCTGCGGATGCTCACCGGATGTCCCCGCAGTCACAGGCTGAAAGCGCGTGTCACAGCGTCCCGCGTTGTCTCAGAAAACGCAAGCTCCGAGAGATAGGAACACGCAAGGCCGCAAGCGAAGGCGCCGCTTGCGTCGAGGTGAAACCCGTGCTTCCTGTTGGAGCCTTGCACCCTCGAGGTATATTACTATAAGTGAATCCTTTGTCCGACGAAAGAGGGTCTGATGTGCAACGTGCTGACCGAGAACGGGACGCAAGGGATGATTTCCGATAATGGCTGATACTCGTGAACGCTTCAAGGAGCTTCAGCAGCTTCTGGGTTTTCATGGTGAGTGACCCTCGGGCCCGAAACATGTCCCGCGATAGTCTTGAGAATCATGAACAGAGTTTTTCTTCACACAAAGTGTCCACCATGATGTATTTGGTACTGCACATAAGTCGGATGCGTCCGGCCAGGTGCTGACACGATGAAGTCTCAAAGACACCATGACAAAGAGTTTGCGGCTAAGCTGCCACCACAGTGCAGATTTTCAGGGTCTCGAAACGCGAGGCCTCCTCTGGCGGCATGGTGAAGCGGGTCCCGAGGTCTGGGGTATATGACGCAGACCCTGTGGTGAGACTCGCCTTCACCTATTTAGGTCAGGTGATGGCGCGAAGACGGTTGTTTGTGTACTATAAGCTTGACGCGTCGCACCTGGAGACGAGACGATGGTTTTTCGAGGCGCGTGCAACAAGCGCCACACACTGGCCTTGTCGAGTGTCTGGCGGTCCACTAAAGGAGGGGTCAGCCCGTTGGTGGTGGGGTCCAGCCGATCGCGTGCCGGTTATGAAGGCTTTGTGCAAAGTGGTGGTGGGAGAGCCGCCGTTCTCGAACAACGACTCAGCTCGCCTCTTAATGGCACCACAACAACTATGACAGCGGCCCCCGGTCACTCCGAGAGGCCATGGCTGACGATGGTGTTGTTGTTGCGAGTATTAGCGAGGGTGCTTGGTCGACAGGTTGACAGTTGTCTGAACTGGTTTGCAGAAGTTGGAGCAAACCGGTCGATAAGAATAGCAAAGTTGGCAGTTCATCTCAGCCTTATTGCCTATGACGTTCGATGTATGTCGCCATCGCGATCGCAGAGGGGAGAGTTCGATCGCGAGCACGGAACTAGAGCGGTAGCGTGTAGGATGGAGCCTTTCCTGTTTTATGCACCCGGTTGGGTCTAAGGGGATCAGAGGGCGAACGGGCCGGGGTGAGCTCACGTCGTCAAGCCAGCGGCGCCTGCGAAGCCTGCGACGTCGGTCTCGCTGCACCGAATTCAGACTGAAAATCTCCCGCTCGCCCAATGAGTCGGGCAAAGGAGAGGCAGCCAATGAGGCGCGTCATAAGCCGTGTTACAGCGAGGCGGTTCCCTGGCAGAGTCCCTGCCAGAGCAGCCAAGCCTGCTGCTGGGCGATACTATGACGAAAGTCTACGCAGATGAAGACCGAGTGTGCCGTCCAAAACATCTCACGCGTCTTGAACGAGGCTGGAGTTGGGGTAGTTGATGCCGAAAGAGGCATGCAGTGTGCGGTAGTATGCATAGATATGCTAGGCTGGTGGTTCTTCGGTAGCGAGTGGGCAGCTCTGTCGGTTTCCCTTGGAGACGGTTTGTACGTTACGCAGCACGGCTAGAGCACTCCACGCAGAACCACTCCGAGGGGAGAAATTCTCTCGGCGGCGCGAGTTTAGGCGCAGAGCGAACGTATGGTTTCACGTATCGTGCTGGGCTGACAGGGAGCACCCATTCCGCTTGCGTCTGATCCGTGCCGAGCTAGGGAATTGCTTCTCTGGCAACGCGATGCTGAGGTGCAGCTGGAACTGGCTGGAACTGAGCCTCGTCGAGATTCATTTCAGGTCAAGGTTTCGGTGAAGCATGTCACGTTGGATGGTTATATTATGGATCTGGCTGTCAGTGCTGCAAGACGGTGACAGTCGGGCGATGTTGCAATACATGGAACAGCTGCGAACGCTTGTTTACGTCGGCTTCGCGTGATTAGCTGCAGGCTGCGTATTGCTGCAGCTACGCGATGGACTACGTAGGATCGAGATCAAATCAGCGGCCGGTGTACCTGCGGCGGCATTAGAGGCTGCGGATCAACAGCATAGCTCTGGGCTGAGTGCATAGCCGGCGCAAGCAAACTCCAGTCCCCAGTATTCTTTGTCCCGTGCTGAGCATTGAGGCCTCCGGTGTGTGCAAGCGCCTAGCTCTAAAGCCCACGCCCTGGTCGTCGGCCCTAACCTGAACCCAGCAGCGGGCTACCCCAGCAACCACGGCATCCTCAAATCCAGCTGCGTGACCTGGATCCGCCTTCCTCTTCTCTACCCTTCTCGCACCCAAGAAGGCCCAATCCCCTCTTTAAGTTGGCTGAGGATTTTGGACGACGGTTGCTTTGCTTGGATTGATATTAGGAAGAGAGTATCGTATAGGCAGTCGCTACCTCGTTCACCATCCACTACGCCCAACACAGAGCCGCCCTCAGCCTCATGTCCGGAGCCCGCCTCTAGCATCTCTACCACGGCCACGACCCCATCGAGCTATCTCACCAGCTATCTCACCCAGCATCTTCAGATTGGAATTAGTTTTCCCGTCTTGCATGCTTATCGCCAGTATCGCCTTTTCGACATCCGTTCAGTGAAGACGTGCAAACGCTCGTTGCCCGGTACTACGACTACGACAGCCACCACCACCAACACCAGCCCATCATGGAGATGTCTTCACCTCTCGCGGCCATGCACCCGCCGCCCATCCCCGGCCCCTGGGGATACCGTCGTGACCTGCCACAATCGAAGCCGTTGTTTGGAGGAGCACACAGCCTGGGTCCCAAGAGCTTCAACTTCCGCGACCTCAGCATGAAGAAGAGTGGGGGAGACTACTTCACCCTGCAGCCCATGCGAGGCTCGTCGCCCACGACCAGCCTGGCCGCCGACATGTCGAGCAACCTGCACATGGACCAGAGGTACAATCCCTCTTTGTCCCTCTATACCTTCCCATTGCGGTACTGACATGCTTTGTTGTAGCCCTCAGCTCCAGACGCCTCGCCGGTCGCTCTTCACGTCGAATCTCTTTCAGCAACTCGACACACGGGGTAAGTGGCTGTGCATTCACTCCAAACGGGAGGCATCAGGCTGACAGGTTCAAACAGAAATCACGACCCCACTGGCCCGTTGGGAAGGCGTTACGACTCCGCCAATCCCATCGTCCTCGCCCGGCTTCGCACCAGACTCCATGGACATCTCCCCTCTTCCCCACAAGGCACCTTTCAGCTTCATCAACGACCGCTGCCTGCCCCTACCCTCGCCCTCCCCAGAGGTGACCCCAGGATCCGACAGCGACATGCTCACTCCATGTGACGACCTACCCACCCCACCCGCATACTCTACACCCTCACTCGAGGTCCCACGACCCGTGTCAGCCGCTGAGTCAGTACACGAGCCGCTCCTTCACTCAGTCCATGCTAATACAATATAGACGCCGAAAGTCCGCTCTGCTCAGGCCCTCTCTTTCGCGCCACAAGAACTACTCTACTAACAGTGTGTCGTTCAAGGACCAAGAAAAGCCATCGAGCACCTCGCTGCCGGCTTTCCAATTTGGTTGCGGTGACTTCGCCAGGAACTCGTCTTCATTGAGCTTGGATGAGTGCTTTACTGCCTCCCCACCTCAAGAACGTCGTCCCACCTCCAATGGCTCTCTCTTCGCATCGAAACCCAAGCCCTTTTCTCTCAACTCTACTGCCGCTCGTGCCAATGGTTCCCCTCTCGCCGCTGTCAGGAAGCCTGTCGGTCCCCCTTCTCGTCGTCCCAGCAAGTTCCGCAGATCGTTAAGCATGTTCGAAAGTCCCGGTGAAGTGATGAATGCCAAGCAGGAACAGGATGACTACCAGCCCAGTGGGCTTCAGTCTGTGATGGATGTCGATGATGCCAACCCACTCAAGCTTCCACACTTCACTACCAGCGAGCCAGAGAGCCTCCCTCGTATTACCCACGAGACATTGGTGGAGGTCCTTGACGGTGCTTATGATCACTTGTATGACAACAAGGTGGTCATTGACTGCCGCTTCGAGTACGAATACAATGGTGGCCACATTGAAGGTGCATTGAACTTCTGTGACAAGGAGAAGCTTGCCGAGCGTCTCTTCCAGGCTCCGTCAAGTGACAACACTCTTCTGATACTGCACTGCGAGTACTCAGCGCATCGTGCTCCTCTCATGTAAGTACTTCCAATATTCCCGCCTGTGGTCATCACTAACAGCAACAGGGCCAAGTTTGTTCGCTCGCAAGATCGCAAGGAGAATGCGCATCAATATCCTCACCTCTCGTTCCCTGAAGTTTACATCCTCGACGGCGGTTACAGCTCCTTCTACCATGCACATGCAACCCGCTGCTATCCCCAGAACTACCTTCGCATGGATGCCAAAGAGCATGAGCAATCCTGTGAACGCGGCCTTAACAAACTCAAGTTCAAGTCGCGTGCTAAACTCAACCGTGCTACCACTTTCACCTTTGGGCAGCACTGCCAGATGGAAGACAGCCCTACAGCCATGGGCCGTACAAGATCTGGAAACAACCTCTTCACCCTCGGCAATGACTCTCTTGAAATCGGACGTGTCAACGCCGCTTCCCGTCGCATGGCATCTTATTAGGCCTGCACAACAACCAACCAACACTATAACGAAACTAAACTAACTCATGGCGGATTGATTCACGGCGTTATCGATGATTGCTGCATGGTATTGGATCCCCACAGCATTGGCGTTTGGTCCTTTTCCATTTCCGGGGCGTTTGAGCGATTCCCTTTGTTCTGCATCACTCGGGACTTTTTGCACAGCGGCTCCAGTCTGCATCTGATCTTTGGGGTGTCCTGTCCCCATTTTCGTTTCTATACCCCTTGTCGCGGTGCCGTGGGCCCGGGCAAAAAGTTACCATTTCTTGATAGGGATTGCTGGATACCCATCTTGTCTACGGCGAGCGTTGAGCAGTCCAAAGAAGGCTGCCTCGCGAGCTCATTCATTTCCTTTGTTCCTAGTACCCATCCTCACACGGATCTCTCCTGGCTCAGCAGCGCTGAATTATCGCCTGCACATGTTCTTCAGAACAAGAATCTAAGAATCATCACGAAACCAAGTACACAAACAGGTCTACGTGCCTTTAAAGGATTAATCACCTACGCGGCATCTTCTGCCAGTTTCCTTAATACAATTCATTCGATATCATACTCGACAGCACTCAGACTGGACTCTGTGCCATTTCTTGCGTCACGTATTCTTCACCTGCTACTGCTCTCGCTGGTGTATTTACAATTGCAATTGTGAGGTACTTGGCTGTAGGCAAGGCTGAGGGTCGAAGGATCGGTTCCAGAAGTACTGCGGTGGACTGAGCGACAAATAACAAAGAATTCTTCACCGAACCAATCTGCCAGTACCACTCTCCTGATGAAGAAGTCGCGATGCATTAACCCCATGCACAGTTTATATGTTGAGCTACCTGGGCAGGAACTAGCTATAGCTCATATTGAAATAGTGCGGTAGCGACGGCAGTTGATAGCTGCACTGCATTAGCTCATACCCATGCACCTTGTGGCTTGTTTGCTTCTTTCGGTGTTAATAACGTCTGGATCACGACGCGGCTCTCTCCGTGTTGTGTTGAACGCGTCCGACGCGTCTGCGCTAGAGCCCCCCGCATCTCGCATCCCTGCCCCACCGAACATGTGCATCTGCATGCACGCTCGCTGCAAGCCAACACACGCATGCATCGAGTCTGATACATACTCCAGATCTCGCTTTTTACTTTCTACCGGCTCTCGGGTGCTTGCCGATTGCGTCACCTCCGATCGATTTTATCCCCGCCTTCGCCTCTAGCCTTCCGAACACGCTTCCGTAGCATCTGGATCCAAGCGGAAACGAACAAAATTGTCGCGCCGCATACTGGCCGACGCGTTGCCGTAACTCAGCAACACAGTAGAGCTTTTTATGGGAGTGAGAGACACTCCATGGATATCGACGATCTTCTCGCAGAGGTCGCAGTAGGGTCGACGCCAAGGGAGGCGCTCGATTTGCAGGAATTGACGAGGTGTTGGGTTGCAGAGAGAGTCGCACCAGAGATCTTGCCATGGCCCGAGGAACTTATGGGAAGGGTGCTCGAGCGAATTCAGAGACAGGTGAGCGCCTAGAAGCTTCGGCGAGCGCAACACAAGATAGCTAATGACGCAGCCAGATTGAACTGGTCGAAGACCAAACGGGCAACATGGACCCCAAGACAAACTTCAAACTCATCATCATACAAACAGAACTCGAGCGATTCAAGTTCTTGGTTCGCAGTTTCCTGAGGGCTAGAATAAAAAAGGTAGGGACAATACCTACTCTACGAATCCTTACAGCGGCATACTGACACACATTCGTAGATCGATTCACACCCTCTACACATCCAATCGCTGCACACGACTTCCCTCGAGATGCCCTACCCGCTTCTCTCTCCATCCGAGTACCAATACCTTACGTCCCATCAAGCGCTCCTCTCCTCTCACTACACATCCTCGTTCCTCTCACAATTTCCGGCATCGCTACAACGACTCGATGATACGACAGGTGGCATTAGCATGATCGATAAGCCTGATGAAGACAAAGCGGTGTTTGTGAGGGCGTTGCGCGATGTTGGGGAAATTTTCGTCGAGGGGACAGATCGCAGGTTTGAGATGAAGAGAGGTGATGTTTGGGTTGTCAGATGGAGCGCAGTAAGGGCTTGGTGTGTAGGCTGTGGGACAGGGGACGTGGAACTGATATAAGATGGCTGTATGCGGGTACCAATCTGAAGAAGAGCTAGAGACCGTGGACGCGAGCGACATGGCTCAAGATAGGCCATCCTCGGTTACACAAGAAAAGTACTGTGTTTAGGTCGTCGCAAAGCCACTCTGAGTGCGAACAAACGCCGGAGCGCCCAGTGTCTTCAAGAACGACACAACGACTTGCCGTGGAAGAGTTGATGACGGTCAGAAACTTGGAACATGTTTTGAGGGAACAACTGCGTGTGCACAAGCTGCATTGTCGATACTCCTTCAATTTAGCAGCATAGAACCATCAGCCAAGCAGATCTATGAGAGTCCAGTCTTTTACATGTTTCCAGATCGTGTTGATGATAACGTCTATGGCCATCCAAACTTCAAATCACCGTTTAATTTCTCCTATGCGATAGTGAGAGTTCAACATATGCGCAAAATTACGTACGAAATCCCAGTCATGTCCGACAGCTCAACTTTTTATTAAATGTTGAAGACAAATACTACGCTTGAAAGGAGGTATTTGATTCTGGAAATATTGCCTTCTGGGGAAGCGATCTAGTAGGGGAAAGAAACGAGAAATACAGAAACCCATATGGTAAACTCAGTCAGACATATTGGTTTGAGCCTATTGAGAAGTGTGGCGTCAGAATCTCCCAGGTGTAATTTCACGAATGCAAGAAACTTCATTTACTAACGGGGCAAGCTACGTTTGACGCAAGCACGCTATGCTCAATCACCAAGACCTTATGGTAGCTTCTTCGTACGTAGGCGGCGGATCCATTGGCGTGCCGTAGTCTTCGTTCGCAGCACCCACCCTTTGGGTAGCACCGTGCCGATTCTCATCTTGCGTACCCATATCGTCTTGTGAACGCATACTAATCGGTACCAGCTCTCCGTTCAGAAACAACTTCTTATCGTCCCCACTCTCAAGCTTCCTACCGGGACGTATCCCAGAAGACACGTGTACCGGTGTCCTCAATTGAACCAATAGTATCCGACCAGCCTGATCCTAGACGTAATTAGTACACACTTGGCTAACCATCACTCCCCAACAATCCTCCTGATCACATGTCGAACATACCTTTGTATCCCGACATTGAAACCCCATGGAGATATCCAATTCATATCTTCTCGCCAACCCACACGAGTCGAAACTTGGGACAATGGTATCTGGCAGTGCTTCACCTTCCCATAGACTCCTATCAATGTATTTTTCGGTACCGACGCTTTCAGAATAATGGAGTACAGGCAAACCGAGGTTGCTCATGCTTTGAATCGTCCAGCAGGAAATCTGCGTATTCGTAAGAGACGGACCCTTGGCTTTAATATCCGTATACCCAACCAACAGCATCTGAAAAGACTGCAGGTAGAGGCTGTATGCAAATTCATTGAGTTTCGAAATGCTGAGTCGTATCATCATGTGGCGGTTTCGGAGGATTGAGTAATCCGGTAGTAAATGAGCTGATATTGATATCTGAGCTGGAGGGATGGCCGCGGAGAGGTGATGCATGTATTCAGTCGGAGAGACGACTAGTGCTGGAAGTTGAGCGTATGGACCCATGATAGTTGCTTGCACTGTTTTTACGCATGGAAATGTGCTATTTTCCTTGGACAAGGAGCCGAGATACTGGTTATGTGTTTCCATAGGCCATACTGTGATGTTCAAGTTCTATACATTGTCAGCAACAGCACACGCAAGTCAGAGGCAGCGCTTCTTCAAGATAATGATCTAGCTTACCGTTTTTATCGTCGATTTGAAAATGCTGCGTATGCTGGTTACTGCTACATCGATACGATATGAGATCGCTGCACCATCAACAATATCGTGCATTGATGGTGGGAGCATATCGTGCGAAGAGGATGGCGACTGGACTGCATATTTCTCATTGCATACCGGCGATACAGCCGGGGAGTTTGGAGGGCATGAGCTACACTCCACTGCATCAGGTATCTACATATACACTTAGTAACGAGTGCTTGGGTATAACTTATGCGTGTAACCACTAAGCAACTTACCCGTAACGCAAACCGAAAGCTGTGATATCCGAAGCCCAGTCTTATTGACTTTTCGGCACCTAAAACCCTCTGATCATGGCGCGAAGGAAATATAATCTGGAAATCGTGTGCGAACTAGATACATTAGTCTGACAGCTATCTCAATCGAGAAGCAAATCCCATACCATGATCACTTACGCGGTGCTTGTCTTGTTGCTCTCGGTCCATCAAAAGGCCGCTTGTGTCGGTATAAGATAGTACACTCTCACCAACTAAGGTCGCTGTGATTTTTGAAACTTTGGTGATGCTTGTAGGGCAGTAAATGACGATATTGCCAGTGATTGGGTCGCCATTACTGAAGATGGCCTTTGGGTGATCTAGTTGAATCGAAGTATCCATGTCGTTGTGAAAGAAGGGCTCGAAACAGACGACACTAGCACTGGCAGTGTTGTATAGAAATGATAATAGAAGTATCTGATATCACCAAACAGAACTTCTAAGCGGTTTTCTGTGTGCGAATGCAGAGTGCGCAAAATTGACAACATGATGCCTCTGAAACCCTCCTCCAGTTTTATCTACAGTGAAAACACTTTGTCTCCCGGTGTTCGTCCAGCAGCGAGTGTAAGATACTAGTGTCCGGATCCGGCTATTTTTAGTCGGCACGCCAAGATTCTCGTTGCCGTCACCAGCCCCTCGATACGATAATGCATTTTATAGCGAGATGATAGGCTGGGATCAGGCCAGTACGTATGAGATTGGCGATTCTGAGCTGTGTCGTTCTGGCGTTGCGCATGGCTAGGATACATATGTCAGGAGTCGCTATGGCACCTTGGCAAGAGATAGTTTGGCCATAGAGGCTCCCAATGGGTACATGCTGGGATTTTTGCTCCCTGTCCATAATCGTCAATCGATGAACCATTGGAGTGGAGCTGTATCATGCGCAGACACTTTGATCGAACCAACGAGGTGAAATATACAACGTCCGTGTCTGTCATTAAATCATTGATTGCCATCAAAGAATGAGAAGTCGGCATCCAGCCATCCCATGGTAGGTTGGGTATCAAACAAATCCCAACTTGGGTCGAGTGAGCCTAAACCATTATCGATCGAAAATTCCATCGCCACATCGTCAGCGGACTGAACCAAATTTGGGTATTCAGCGTTGATCTCATTCGTGTTCGTAGGCAACTGCAGTTGCCCCCCAGCCAACTGAACAGGAGGCTGCGGTGCAGACGTAACTGCTCGGTCCTGTCCGGTGGTCTGCTGGGGGTACATGCATTGCGCTGCGTATGGTGACGTCTCCTTGGTTCCGGTGACAAGACCTTCGCAAAGCCCAAGGAATGACTTGAAGAGTGTCTGTAATTTGGCAATCGGAGGGCTCAGATCCGCAAGTCCGTCGAGCTGAGACGTAACGGTGATAAGCAACTCAAAATCTGACTCGTTGGACGAGGCTACAATGTTACAGAACAGGACGAAGAAAGGCGTCAATGGGTGGTAGAGTACGGTCCTTCGTCAGTTAGTTGAGATCCAGGAAATAGTGGTAGCTGCTCACCAATGCATATACGATATATGTGCTCGAACATCAGTGATGGTCATAGACTCTTTCTGAATGACCTTGAGAGTAGTCATAGCCATACGCGCGGATTGAAGACAATCGATGTCAATATGCGGTTTTGCGGGCTGACAGATCTGTCTTGAGCGTAGAATAGAAGTCCGGAGCGAATGATATGAGAATTGAACGGTACCCAGCTCACTCGCAACGTGTAGGCCACCCCACGACTCCGACGAAGCATGCAACTAGACACATCAGTCTCATCTTCTGAAACTTGAAGCTGCATTGACTCACACTCGTTATTCTGGTGTATACCCGCTCCAGTCTCTCAAGCAAATCCTTGACCACAGTTTCGACTCTTGATAGAAGCGACTTTTTGTTCGATATCCGATCTGGATGCAGCTCCGACATGTATATCGCCTGGATAGGGACGAAGTGTAAGTAAGTAGATAGCAGAGATGACATATCTTTGTTGAAGGGCGACGACAATGCCGCATCCAAGCCATCGTACTCAAGCAGAAAGCGGCGCTTTCCCTGCATCATGGAGTAGTTCTTGTCAAGGATATGACACCATGTGTAACAGTAGTAGATCTCTATGTCGTCCTCTGTCTCGGTTCTGCAGGCTTTTACCTGGGCTTCAAGGCCTAGATCTTCGCACATTCTACAAGCAGCTGTGATGAACGTCCAGCAATGTGTCAACTCTCCAGCGCCCTGCGCGATGAATGCCTATAGTCTTTCAGCTAATGTTACTATGGCTGGTGAGAGTCTCTTACGCTGCACAGAAGTGACTGTAGAAGAACAAGCGAAGGAGCAGATAGCAGGTGAATACGCGTCATGGCCAGCTTAATACTTTTGAGATACTTCGAAGCACTTTCAAGCATACCCGCTCCAACTTCTCCCATACTGTCCTCCTCTAGCACAGTATTGATAAACTTGAAGGCAGCGGAGTTCACGCAGATTGAATAGAGTAGCAGGGTCTCAGGATCCACGGTCTTGTAAATCAATGCGTGTCCCATGTTCTTGAGAGATTTTGGAGAAACGTGCTTAAAGTAATCCATCACATGGGGTCCAAGGTTGCGTCCTTTCAAGTCTAACATTAACCGTCAGCTGTGAGAATTCGTGAGTGCTACTACGAGACCTACCACGGACTATCCAATACAGAACCTCGATGTTAGGGTATGATATGTCTTCCAATACATCAAGAACTCGCGCAGTAGGTGAGTTAGTATTGTCCCATGGCTTGTTGACTTGAGAGAGATGGTTCACAAAGGACATCGCCTCTTTCAAAACAGCTAACCTATCCGCGGGCATATGATTCCCGGTCTTGATCTCTCGGCGAATAAAGTCCTGAGCTTCCAGTATTGACGGCGATGGAGGCATACTGGGAGAGTGTGAGGATGCGGGTGATGTTTGGAGCTCGTGACGTCGGCTTTGCTTATGTGCCGGCATGACTTCAACGCCTCTTCGTCGTTTGGTTGTGCCGCGGGCTGAAGCTGTACGTTTGCATTGTATATTGCCGTCTACACAATTGCCACAGGGATCATTACGATCGCATTTGACCTTCAATAGATGTCAACGAGAAGTCACTCCATGAAAGCAGAATAAGAAGGCAGACCTTTCGCATCTTGCATGTATCGCACTAGTCGTAGTTAGGTAACCGTTGTTGCTCAGCGTGCGATACTAACCACGGGGTTTATCTCCATGATGACCTAGTCAAAGTAAATCGAAGTGGTTGAGTTGGGCTGTTGGGAAAAGTCAAGGGCGAAGAAGAAATATAAGGTATCCTATGGTGAAGCAAAACGAGGGTATCAGAAAGTCTCGTGAGGTTTCCTAGCAGATGAGAAGAACGACAAAACATCGACGGCTCAGACGCATATAGGGCTGAGGAAGTTTGAGATCTTGGCAAGCACGCGAGTAATAGTTCAAAACGGTCGTAAAGCATGGGCGCCGGCTGAGCCACCTGCTGTAAGATCGAGCCGCACAGGTCCCTTTGCGGTGGCAGTGAACTTCGCAAACGCGTACTCAACGACTGAAACGTCGATTTCGTATCGAACGCTTGTCATTCGCTGCTCTTCGTTCTTTGGCGTCTCTACGAACAATAGTGCGTTGTGGGCGGTGCATACCTGGATAGGGGTGGGTGCGGAAGCGAGGAACGTCCGCGGACTCCGAAACGTCCGATCTTTCTTAACATACTTTCCTCTCATTCCTCTCACGATCCGTGAAGATAGACATGCTTCGATCTCGTTGTGCTTTCATCCGTTCAAGATCCGCGTACTTCACTTCAACATGGTTGTCCACAAAGCACATCGTTAGTAACAGCAATATCCATTGCGCGATATAACGCTTCTACACCACCACATTCTACCAACCCTTCTATACTCAAACAACGGTACTATATCCCCCACCATACCCTCTCCTTCCTTTCCACCTGACGTACCACTTTCTCCCTTCATCTGCCCAAAATACACAACTTGCCAATGCGACAAGATGCGCGAGATCGCCCAAGCCGAGCGCCTCAGTTTGGAAAACGCTTTGCAGCGGCGGGAAGTAGATGACTGCTAACTGGCCAATCAAGCTGCCCGACACGGCATAGTTAAACATCTTGTTGTCGAATACGCCAATCTCGCCTGCGAGGACGGACTTGCTGGAGGAGCGGCAAGTTAGTGCGTTGAACATGTCGAAGAGAACAAAGCAGGTAAAAGTCATGGTTGTGTCGCGCGCGGTGACAATGTTATCGGTGGACATCTCGAGGTAATAGGTTGTGAGTGTGCCAAGCATGATGATGGTGGCGGATTGAAGGACGCGCTGAATGAGTGGGCGGGTCAGGACGCGTGCCTGACGTGGGCGTGGGGGCAGGGCCATGACGGCTGGGTCGACAGGTTCTACACCGAGAGATTGCGCGGGTGGGCCGTCCATGAGGATGTCTTAGGTTGATAGTCAGTAGATGTAAAAGGGATGGGTACAGGTGGAACTCACTGATCCAGAGAATCTGCATGGCATTTAGCGGATTCTCGAAACCAAGGAATGTGCTCAGGAGTACTAAGCTCAGTGCCGCCGCGCTGGTGCTGAGTTGGAAGGTAAGGAAGTTTTGGATGTTGTAGAAGATGCCTTTACCCTCTTCAATCGCGTTCAGAATGGTCGCAAAGTTGTCATCTGTCAGAATCATATCTGCGGCCTCTTTCGCAACATCCGTACCCAATCTACCCATGGAGATTCCGATGTCTGCTTTCTTGAGCGCGGGCGCATCATTGACACCGTCGCCAGTCATTGCCACAACGTCGCCTCGTGATTGCAGCGCTCGAACAATCTTCATCTTGTGCTCAGGACTAGTTCGCGCAAAGATCGAGGTTGTCGCAATGGCTTGTGCCAGTTCTTCCTCGCTCATCTGATCCAATTCGTCGCCACGGATAACCGAGCGCCCGAGTGCTGAATTCGGCATAATGGGCATACCCAGACTCTTGCCGATAGCGACTGCTGTGGTCTCTGCATCGCCGGTGATCATGATGACCTTGACTTTGCCGGCGATGAGTCTTCGGATAGCTCTCTCAACGCCCTTTCGTGGCGGATCGTTCATGCCAACCAATCCAGCGAACACGAGACCGCGGTACTGCTCATCGTCGCCAAGGGCCGAGTTTGTAGATGGTGCTGGTGAAGCGGTGCCACTGGCATTCCTCTTCTTTCCTCTCGACGCACCACTAGCGAAGCCGAGCACACGTAAACCCTCTTGAGCCATTTGGTCAGCGGCCTTCATCGCTTCTTGCTTGCGTGCTTGGTCGAGTGCCACCTCTTTTCCTTGTGCCGTCACGTACGTGTCACAACGGTCCAGAACTCGCTCGAGTGCACCTTTGATGTAGGCATAGTCAGACCCAGGGGTGAGATTGCCAGAACTACCGCCAACGACGACACCCATCCACTTCCTTTCCGAACTGAATGGTGTCTCGAACTTGCGATCGCCGAGCATTTCCCGAATATCGTCTTCTCCAAAAGCATCCATGAGGTCAAGAAGAGCGACATCGGTAGGTTGGCCAACCCATCGGCTCTTCGCTGCAGTATTGTCATCGCCTCCAAGAGTTGAGGATAGTACCGCAGCAGTTGATGCTGAGGCTGCCTGGTCGCTCAACAAGCGAGCATTATTGACAATATTGCCGATCCGAAGTATGTTGCGCGTAGGTGAATCGAGGTCCGTAGAATCGTGCTTCTTCTTGACATCGACTGGTGATGCTTCGTCAAAATGCCATATCTTGGTCACAGTCATGTGATTCGTGGTCAACGTGCCTGGTGGTAGTGAGTAAATGTTGGATCATGGTAGAATTGTTCAACTTACCTGTCTTGTCAGTACACACGACATTGACCGAAGCCAAGGTCTCAACACTAGGTAACCGTCGAACAATGGCGTCGCGCTTAGACATCCTCAGCACACCCAACGCAAGCGTGACAGTAACAATGATCGGAAGTCCTTCGGGGATGGCCGCGACAGCAAGTGACACAGCAATCTGAAAGACCTGTAGGAATTTCCAACCACGCCACAGTCCCACCAGCCCAATGAAGGCAATGACTCCGAAGGACATGTAGCTTAGATCCTTGCCTAGACGGTCCATGGAAAGTTGCAAAGGCGTCCGCGGGCTCTCGATTTCCTGCAGAGAAGCAGAAATGGCGCCAAACTCGGTGTTGCCTCCTGTACCGACGACAATTCCCTGTCCATAGCCCGATCTAACCAATGTACCCATGAATGCAATGTTCTTCTGATCGTTCAGCCGTATATCAGCACCGACCGTTCCAGCGGCTTCGGAGGCGTAGAAAGGCGAAGATGGTCGTTGTACGGCCGGCGGGGGCGTGATGGTATCTGGTGACTTGGCGACAGGCTCGTTCTCTCCAGTGAGGTTGGACTCGTCAATGCTGAGGTCGGCTGCGTGCGTGATGCGGATATCGGCTGGTATGCGGTCTCCAGTGTGGAACAAGACCAGGTCGCCCGGCACCAACAGTGTCGCGGATATGGTAGTAGACTTGC